CAAGGCCTAACCACTAGTCCTCCAGGTACCCATAAGGACAGGATCATAGTAATAAATATTTATATAAGAGAATCAAGCTAGATATAAAGTCAAACAGGATTGTTCCTATTCCTTCAGGAAGTTTTATGAATATGTTGGTGTTGGATTTCACAATATGTTGTTGCACTATGTAAAGGGGGCTGGAGCTGATTTAATTGCCGCCCATTGTTTGAGAAATCCAGCTGGTGAAAACATAAACCTGGAGGCAGAGTGAGAAGATGTTTCAAGATTATTCATGTAACAAAAATATTTGTTGTACATGCTATAGATTATATCAGATCACATTGCAACAGATAGCACTTGATTTTACCTTGACATAGACACCAAGGCAATTCTCAGCACAGCCGTAGTCCCAAGACAGAATACCCTGCAGCTCACCATTGCACACCAGAGAGCCACCAGAGTCACCCTGAATCAAAGAGTGATAGTTTAATTGCTTATAAGGCCTTTAAAGAGAGATCATTTTAATACTGTAGTATATCATTTTACCCGGCAGTCCCTTCCTCCTTCCAGGAAACCAGCACAGAACACGGTATTAGTGATGATACCAGCGTAGCAATTACAATCCCACTCAGAGAGAATAGGGACCTCCAGACACTGCAGCTTGTTGCGATCAGCAGCTACATAGAGATGACACAAATAAGGCAATATTAGAAAAGATCAGTAAAACAGTGCTATCATACTATATATACTGTAATCTGATACACAAATACGATGCAATTAGGAAAGAAGTATTGAAAATTTGCCTTCAGAGCAATGAAAACTAGCCACCGGTCAGTGGCTCTTGTAATAATTCCAAACATTGTTAATGCATTCCAAACATTAATGCATTTTAGGTATAAATCTCCCACCTTTTGTACCTTTAATTTGTGGTTTAACATCTACGTATGTCTGTGTTTTTCACAAGCAGATAAATTGCACAAGGTTACTGAACTTATACTGTACTCACTTGTGCTCAAGGTCTTTCCCCATCCAGAGACTGCGCACTAGGTTCCTGCAGGGGGGAAGCTCTTAGGCAGTGCAACAGGCTGCACATAGTTGTTCAGCGTAGCAGGTTGACTTAGCTTGATGAGCATGATGTTGCTGTCAAAGGTCCAGGAGTCATAGTTGGGATGGCGGAGGACACGGGAAGAGGAGATGAACTGCTCAGTACCCTCATTAGTCTGAAAGTTGTGCTCACCCGAACGAACCTCCACACGACTACGGATGGGATGGAAATGGTTCTAAGTTTAAAAGGTGTATTATCCATAATGACTGTTAGTCATAATATAAATTACTTACGATTTGTAGCAGTGAGCAGCAGACACAACCCAGTTCTGATTGATCAGAGAACCACCACAGAAATGATAGCCAGCATTCAGAGACACTTGCCAGGGCTGGGAGTAGGGTGTGCACTCCTCATACCGTCCAACAATCTTGTCATCCTCCAGAGCACCTGGATATAGGATATATGCTTGTATATCAGAATATATTAAGTATTGTTTTCTGTCCGATCATACAGCCCAGTAGTCTGTAGAAGAGGTTTATACTTACAAGCTCCCACAAACAAAAGCAGGACCAGAGATTTCATGATGACTGTTGATCACCTACGATGCAGATCTAACGTCACACTCCTATTTATTTGAACCAGCAGTCCCATATGGACTATTTCCACAGTTGGTACCAAAAGATAATCTAAAGTCTGTTAAGTGACTCCATAAATGATTGACTTGCTTTATGCCAAAAATAACTGGGAAGCAACACTGAGTAATTTTCAGGGACTGTAAATATGGGTGGATGTCAGAGAGGTTTTTTAACCTCTCCCTCAACCAGCATTTTGTCCCTACATCTTTTAAGTCCTGCACCATTACTCCCGTCCACCATTATTCCTAACCCTAACCCTAACCCCCTGTCTTGCCTCCCTGAATGACTGCTGTCCTGTAGCACTCACTTCTATAATGATGAAGTGCTTTAAAAAGCTGGTCAGAGACTACATCTGCTCCTCCTTCCCCCACTGCCTAGACCCATTACAGTTTGCATACCGGTGCAACAGGTCCACAGATGATGCCATACCCTACAGATCAGGCATACCCTACTCACTGCCCTCTCCCTTCTGGACCAAAGGAAAGGAAACTACGTGCGGATGCTGTTTGTGGATTACAGCTCCGCCTTTAACACCATCATCCCCTCACACCTCAGCAAAAGCCTCATAACTAACAAAGACAAGAAGGCCTACTCAGAGGAAGTGGACATCCTCTCCACATGGTGTCGCCATAACAATCTCTCCCTGAATGTCACCAAGATTAAGGAGATGATTATTGATTATGGGAAGAAGCAGGTGAGGAACTACAGCCCCCTGATGGTCAATGGGGCCACAGTCAAGAGGGTGAGCAGCTTCAAATACCTTGGGGTCCACCTCATAGAAGACCTGTCATGGACAACACACACAAACAGCTTGGTGACAAGGGTGCAGCAGCGTCTCTACCATCTACGATGCCTGGCCAGGTTCAAGGTCTCCCACAGGGTGCTGAAGGCTTTCTACACTGGGACTGTGGAGAGTCTTCTCACCAGGAGCATCACCAACTGGTTCAGAGGCACCACGGCCAAGGACCGGAAGGTGCTGTCCAGAGTGGTGAGGACAGTGGAGAAGGCCATCAGGACTTCTCTCCCCTGCATCACAAGCATCTACAACCAGCGATGCAAGACCAGGGCCAGGAGGATTGTCAAAGACTTTCACCACCCTGGACACAGTATCTTCTCAGTGCTTCCATTAGGGAAGCACTACCGGATCCTGAGGACCAACACAGAGAGAGGAGTTTTTGTCAAGAGGAGTTTCTTCCCTCAGGCAATCCGGCTAATGAGCAAGGACGCTTGAAAGTGTCTGCATATTCCTACCTGACACACAGGCACACATACACAAACAGTTTGCACTATAGAAAAAAAAATTTGCACACTGTGTAGTATCTCTATACACTGTACAGCTCAGTATATTTGTATATAGTACAGTCAGGTCCATAAATATTGGGACAGTGACACAGTTTTGGTAATTTTGCCTCTGTACACCACCACAGTGGATTTGAAATGAAGCAGTCAAGATGTGACTGAAGCGTAGACTTTCAGCTTTAATTCAAGGGGTTTAACAAAAATACTGCATTAACCATTTAGGAATTACAGCCATTTTTTACAGAGTTCCTCCATTTTCACAGGCTCAAAAGTAATGGGACAACTGACTGATAAGCAGTTTCCTGGCCAGCTGTGGCCTGTTTCCTCCTTATATCATGATAAATTAAGGAGATAAAAGGTCTGGAGCTGATTCCAAGTGTTGAATTTGCATTTGGTAGCTGTTCATGGGAACTCTCAATATGCCGTCCAAAGAGGTGTTGATGCAAGTGAAGGAGGCCATCATTAGGCTGAAAAACCAAAACAGACCTATCAGAGAGATAGC